TACCCCTCCAAACTCAGAACCCCTCGTTCGGGAATCAGCTACCGCCTGCGCTACCGCAAAAAGCAACAGAGCACGAAACCCTCGTACAAATCCCTGGCCTTGCATGTGCTTTTCGGGGCACCGCTTCTCAAAACCATCCCAGTATCCCTTTACCCTAGACACCGAATCCTTAGCGTAAACCAACTCACCCCCCTTTACAATACCACCAATCAGCCCGGAACTCGCCCAATCTAACAGCTGCCTAAAGACCACCGCGGAGTCCAAGCCCGTTTCAGACGGCTCGACCGACACCACACATCCCGATCCCCGCCAACCAGGCTGCTTTGGCGACAAATTGATAAGCACTGATCCAGGCTTAGCCCGAGACACAGTCCGGCGCAACCGGCGATTCCACGGCAAATGACGATGGTCCACAGGGCCGGTTCCCACATCGGCCACACACGTTCGTTCCAACAAATAAGCTGGGACGCCCGGAAAAAGCCCTGAGAGCACAGTTAACTGTTCTTCTTCAGTCAAACCCTTACCCCCAGTACCTTGAAGCGTACCGCACAACCAGGACCGCACTTCCTCCGGCTTCAATTCACACAAGGGCTTCAATGGACTGATCCGTTTCACACTAGCACCTCGGCTCTTAAACCCCTCATACTCCGAAAGAATCTCCAATCCCAACTCCCTTGAAATAAGAGGACAGCCCTTAACCACCGTAACTTCAACAGTCCCACGACTCGGATGTCGAATCACACAGCCCTTCTTCCTCCAAGAGATCGTGAAACCCAGCTCAATGAGATATCCTGCTGGCAAAATGACTTGGCAAGGCCCCGCATGGAGAAGAGTGCCGCACTCGTTGACTCTAAGCTCGGCCATACCGCTTGCTAGGTCTACCTTGATGAGTTTCCCACGCCTAAGCTCAGCCTCGCATGCAGGTCTTAACGCGTTAGTCGCTCCACTGTCGACCAAGGCAAAGTTTGTATCAGAGGGGCCAGTGATAGCGCTTAACAACCAGGACCCATCAACCTGAAACTCAGAATCCCCAAGCCTAACCGCCTTAATAGACACGTTCTTCAACAACTTGGCCGCCTCTGCTATCAAACTTTCCTGCCCACTCGCAGACGACGCTGAAACCGCAGCAGATCTAGCCGCATCTGAGCTGCTATTGGGGTCCTCAACGACTCCCTTGGCCTGCGGCCCCGCTTTCGCTTTAGGCGTCTTGCCCTGACCTTTCGGAGGTCCCGCTTTAGGAGAACCCTCGGAAGTCGACCCCGAATCCTGAACCTGCCTATTCTCCGGTGCCACTAGGCTACACTCAGGTCTAAAGTGCCCCGCTTGACCGCAAGCTAAGCACCTACTCTCCTTACGCGCCTTAGCCCTATCATGCTTGAACATACAGGCATCCCCAAAACGGCAACCCGTACCGTCCCCAAACTTAAAGCACAATTGGTTCGCACCATCTCCCTTCTTCCCTTTGCCCTTATCCTTCCCCTCCCCCTTTCCCGTACTCACCGCAGCTACCGACGCACTCGGAGGAGGAGGCTGAGGAGGAGGAGGAACCGACTTTACGGGGGGAGGATCTTTGGCAGCATTCAAGGTTGCAGTTCTGGCCCGTTTATCAGACATACCCTCTGATGTAATGGAGGCGGCTTCGCATTCTGCCTGCAGTAGACGTACAAGTTGCACCACGCTGGCTACTGTAGGGTTATAGTCTATCCCCAACTGATGTCTGAACGCATTAACCCTAAAGCCGATCATAGGATGCGCCGTTAGCAAACCCGAAGTAGACGCGTCAATTCCCCTCAACAGGAGTGATGGATCCGGCAAAGTCGCATGTATTTCACCTGCCCGTTGGAGGCCCTGATGCCACTTACGGAGCCCCTTAATCGCTTCTCCAAAGGTACGCCAGACATCCGGATTAACCAATTGAGACAACAGGTGCGACCTTTCGCTACTGCCTCCCGGTTGAAACAGACATAAAACTCTAAAGAGAATGCTAGCACAGCTAAGCCACCGGTTGGTAACCACATCATCCCGAACCGACTGTGGAACCGAAGCCAAAAGGAGGCTCACACCCCTACTCTCTACCCGACCATACAAATGGGCATCGAACTCTCCCTTTACCGACGAAGGGTCTACACTAAGCCTCCCTAGGGGATCAGCGACCAACCACTTCTGATAAGCAATCGTAGCCGGGCCCTCGACACCCTGCCACCAAACATTAGCACTAGGAGACAAACCCACAAGTATCTGCCGAACCTGAGCCAACCAGTTCCCGCATGCTACCGCCGACTGAGAAAGCTCTGTCTGGTTTAGCTTAGGCAGCTCACTAATGTACTTCGCAGGCTCCTCTGGCCTAACAGCCTCTGGAACCCTAGTAACCCCAAAGCCCAAATCCCCTACTTCACTCACCCTAGGTGCATTGCCGTGCATGGTGGAACTTCCAGCACTGGCTCCCGGCACACTCGGAGGAACTAACGGAGCGGCCACTCGCGGTGAAACAGGCGGCGGCCCTGGCGGAGGTCTAATGATTGTACCCCCAGGGGACACTGGGTAACCAGGACCCTCACCCGACCGAGGAGTGACAAACCCAGAACCTACCCCTACTGTCGCTCCTCCTGCCAGGGCATCTGCGGCAAACTGACGAAGCGACTGAGGTGCAGGAGCTGGTGGAGCAATAGCGGGTGGCTCCACAGGAGGGGGAAGGGGCCTCAATGCCCCCGCAATCGGAAAAGCCAAACCGCCACTACTTGCCAAAGCAGCAGCCCGCTCAACCCCAGGGAAACCCAATACCCCAGCCATCTGGGCTTGCTGAAGCCTGGCCCTGTTCATCGAGAGCTGTTGCCCTTGGATATTACCAAAACTTGGACCCACCAACCCAAACATAGGATCAAGATATTCACCAGTGAAGTCACGCGAACCACTCGGATCTACAGGCTGTACACCAGCGCTTGAAGCAACTTGAAAGCGATCATATCCGTGGGCAAAAGAAGCAGGAGAGCACTGACCAAGCCCATCACCGGCAACCGTTCTTTGACTGTACCACGACGACTGAGACTCTGTGGACAGCTTATTCTTAAGTAGTTGATTCTCCTCTAAGACCTGGGCCAGTAGCGTCTCCATTTTCTTAAGCCTTCCATCCTCTGCCGCAGGAATCAGCTCAGCTTGATCATCATATCCAGCACCATCGAAACCCGGCGGACTGTCCCTGGAATCGTTCCCCAACCCAGGAGCAGTCCCAGAAGCAGTCATCACACTCGTCCTCATTTCACCACTAACACCGGGTACAGTCCCAGACCCAACCTGCGGAATATCAGGTTTCAGATTGCCACTCAACCCAGGTGCAGCCCCAGAGGTTCCACGTCCGTTTCCACTGGGAGACGAAGTTGACGTTGGATCATCCCAAGACTGAAATGAAGGAACCTGTTCTCCCGCTGAAGCTTCAACCCTTGCGACCCGAGGAGTCTCTCCAGGAATACCATGGGTTCCTAACATCGCTTCGTAATTAGGCTCACCCATAAGACTACCCACGGTATCCCCAAGCGCTCCTTCATTGTAATCTACGCCCAGACGAAAGGCCTCTGCGTCCAGCGTAGCCGGTCTGCTTCGAAGTAACTCAATCTCTGCTTTGGCATGATCACTGTAAAAAGGATTTGGCATTGGTAACGCTGAGCCTACCTCAACACCAACAGCCTCTCCAGACTCCAATGTCCCTGGCGACGCTTCGCCATGTCTGATGCCACTTGCAGGAAGTCCACTGCCCCCTGTACCAGAAGCCCCACCGACCTCTGCCTGACTCAAGGCTGCTTGAAACGCGTTTTCCCGGGAAATACTGGTGTCTTCAGATTCATCAGTCACGGCCCCACGACGTTTACGAGTCATCGGATCCATGGCCGAAGAATCCTAATTCACTTAATCAGATGGTACAAAGTCGGTCTCTATGAACCCAGCCTAGTCCTACGGCTGATAACCTATGTGAAATCAAATGCAGATATCCAACCCAAGACCACAATGAATGCCCCAAAGCTAGGAATCAACCTAGACTGAAATGAGTCGCAACACGATCGGGCCTTCCACGATTTTTTAACAGCCAAACAGCCTCGGAACATGCCGGTTAGTGCTCAAGTACGTCATCCTGTGCGCAGGGGTCCTTAGCTTCGCGCATTTAGGGGTTAAGGGTTTTGGGTTTAGGGTTTAGGGTTGAAAGCGTTCCTGTAAAGTGCTGCTACAAGGTGGTATTACTGTACCAGGGCCTGGCATACAGGGCTTCTTTGGGGTCCTTGAAAGAGTTCCTTTAAATTTAAAGGGGTATGGTAGTGGCTTCGTATAGAGGGCTCAGTTTTCACCCAAAGCTAGACTACAAAACAATGGGGTTCCGATGAACTCAGTCCTGGCTAAAGTAGGTCAAGTAGGTATGCTACCTTTCAATGACCCCAAGCCTCAACCCTTAAGCCCTGGAAAAGGGAACACCAGGCCCCACAGCAGTACCCTAAACCCTAAGCCCTAAAACCCTAAACCCGAAACTCCTAAACTCTAAAGCCTAAAACCCGAAACCCTCAACCTTAAAACCCTTAATTCTAAAAGCCTAAACCCTATTCCTTGACAAAGGTGGCTCGGCTCAATTGGGCAAGTGGGTAGTATCATTAGGGGGGACCTCTTACAAGTGGCCTTATTGAGAGGGTCTATATCCCCAAGGGTCCCCCCAGTCCTAACTCCCAGCAAGTCCTACTTAGTCAAACTTTCTCCATGGTTTTCGGGCTTAGGGTTTACCTAGACCCTCAAAAGTAGTTAAAATAATGGCCCAAAACTCGTAAAAGGCTATTATTCTACATACTTTTGGGGTCCAGGTAAGGTTTTGGCTCAGGCCTAGGTTAGGGGTGCTTGTGGCCATGTTCTGGAGAGACGGCTGCCGTAAAGCTACTATATAGCAATCCCTGTACGGATAAAGTATAAACTACATAGGCTCACGGACCGTTAGGGTTATACATGTTCATACTACAGTGATGCGACAGGCAGACAGCAGGTGCTCTTCTTTACCCAGCCGGGCAACTTTACACGTTTCTGGTGATTCTCGTCGGGGTGCGTATCATGGCGCTGATGCTTGGCTGATTTTCAGAAGTTGGCGTAGGCACGTGGCATAATATGTATATGGTATATAATGGATAGTATACGGTATATTTGATTTATGTAAGGTATAGTGACATAACGGGAATTGTACCTTCTGTTTCTGCGAGCCTCAAGTGTTGATCCGAAAAAGACCCCGAACATCCCCAACGCCATAAGCTCTACCTATAGTCTCCATTGTGGTTCCTTTTCGGGTTACCTTTCAGGATCCTTAATATAAAATTGGTTAAACTGAAAAAAAGGAACTACAATGGAGACTATAGGTAAGCTCTAATTGCCGTGCACCCTCAACCCATAAAGTCCCCCCAGAGTAGCCCTTGCCGAAACCCTTAGAGGAATCCTTGTGCGTAGTAGCCTTTTAAAGGGAACCCCAGAAAGTTGGAATATGGTTTCAGGGTAGGATACCCTATAATTTACCATAAAGGGTTTAGGATAATCATATTCCAACTTTCTGGCTTTTACGGTAAGGTGAAACTTTACCCCTAATCCTATGCTGCACAGCCCAGGATTGGATACTTCGGCCTGCGGTACTCACACCGATGCTGTCGCGCAGCAGTGCTGGTGGGTCAAGTAGCTCTGCATGCCTCGTTCACGTTCCTTGGCGAGGATCAGGAAAAGCGTGGAAACAGCCAGAATTGCAAACAGCAGTAGTATGGCCACTAGCAACAACAACGTCAACAAAAGAGCGGCAGCAGCAGCAACAACAGCAGCATCAGCAACAGCAACAATTGCCCAGCACCAGCACGAGCATCGCAGCTCATGCGCACGATGGCAATGCGAATGACAATAATCGCAAAAAAAACGCAAGTAACAGCAATACCAACTGAGGCAATAGGTACCCGTTAGCATCAGCAACAACACTTCAATGCCATTCGTGCACCACTAGCAGCTCATGAAGCAACGTAGGCAGCAACTGCAACTGCAAAAGCGCCATTCTGCATTTGCGATACTCACGGATCCGCATTCGGCCTTCCGAAGCCCTGATGATGAGGCATTTACGCTTTTTTTCATCTTCGATTTATTGTTTCAGTTTCCACCAAGCACAAAGGCTGAGCCTTAAAAGCCAGGTTCGTTATGATGATGCTGTGGATCTCTTGGCACCTCGTCGGAGGGGAGCACAGCCACTTCGCACTCTTCGCGCTTGGCATCCTCTCCTGCTGCACGGCATGTGTCCTGTTCCCTTTGAGCAGGGGCTTCTTCAAATCGAACCACAGCAGCAGGGCTGCTCAGGAAGAGGGGACGCACAACTCCACTGAAGCAGTGCTGCAAGCTATCACTCGCAACTTACGTGATCCGCCAGGGTTGCAGCATGCCCTGGAGATCGAATGCAGTCAAAGCCTGAGCCTGGATAACGACGACTTGATCCAAGAGTCTGTGTAGGCTTTGACTTTGAAAGCTTCGGCTTTCGGTTTTGCAAGATGTAGCTGGATCGAACATGGTGATGGTTGTTTTTAGTGTTTCGGCCGTTGTGCTTTGAGCCACGCGGGTCCAGTGGATTAAGGGCGGCTGGTGCATCGGTGTACAGATTTTCGCGGGCGAATCTTGGGAATCGCTGGAGCAATGGCATGCCTAACAGCAGGGACCTGGGCCGATCTACAGTCGGTTTAGGGTTTAGGGTTTAGGGTGTATGCATGTAGCTACATGCTTGTCGGTCTGCTTATGTATTTATTTGTTTGTTTGTTCCAACGTACCTCAAAGTGTAGGTTCGCAAAGACATTTCCATGAATGTGACATCGATCTTCCGGAAGCAACATCGTATCGTTTCAAGCAACGAAACATTGAGCCCGCACCCTGCACACGACAAAAGGTGGGGAAAGGCTCACGGAATATATATATATATATACCCTAATCGTCCAAAGGCCTCGTTTAACGGGTGCGCCCAAGTCGAGGACGCTTAACACTGAAGGGCCTTATCTTACTGGATCGATTGTGTCTTAGATTTTATACGTTCTAGGGTACATCGTTTCGGGTTGGGGGTTGTTGGCGGCTTTGGTTGTTCGGCTGATAAACTCAAGGTAGCCCAAACTCCAGAAATAAGATCCCCCAACAGCAGAGCAGCAGCGGCAGCGGCAGCGCCATCAACGAGATCACGAATGGGTGCCCCTTTTTTTCGGTCTCTGTATTCTGCGTTTCGGTTGAGACCGGCCATCCTGTGGGGCCTCCGCATCGATGCTAGCCTGTATCTGGCCATTGTAATTATGGATTTTTCAAATCCTTTCTTGTCAGCCTTCTGAGCGACTCCTCGGATGCGATGATTAGAGCTCAAAGTCAATTGACGGTACTCTTCGGCACAGGGCGAGGTTGCGGGATCTAGTTCAGCCGTGGCACCCTTAAGCCACCGCATAGCGTCTTCTTCCCGGAAAGTGTGGTGCAATCTTGTGTTCAGTCCTGAACTTATTACAAAAATACGAAACGGGAATCGTAGCTCGATCAAGCTTCCACAGAATATTTCAGCCAAGAAACGTCTTTGTCTGAGATCCACCAACTGGTGGTGAAAAGCCTTAGAAGTTGAACGGCACAACCGATCGAAATGCATCTGCACTGCTGAATGCCGGTAGATTAATTGCAGCCAATGTTCGTGGACTTTTGGCCGAACTTGCCAATGGAGCTTCTCGAGCCTGTCAGGGGTTGCCTCTCGATCTCTCGTCCAGTTACATAGGAGTACCGATCCCAGTAACTCTCGATCTCTGTTGCCTCATAGACATCTTGCACAGAAGTGCGTGGTAGCGGAGGTATCGCATGCCGTGACGGTAGATCTCCTCGGCTTGTTCTTCCGACCTCAGATTAAAGTGAAGCGGCCACTTCCCAGAATCTCGTATCCCGAAACGTCTCGAACATTGGCAATCGGCAACCAGCACCCAAGCGGCAGGCACATGGGATTCTGCTCCACGGAGATGAACCATTGACATAGCGATTCCCTCAGAAGCAGCGATGTTTCGATTTCTTGGGCTTCGGATATATGAAGTGGTTTATACGGCTTCGGGTGCGTTTTAGAAGAGGATTTGATCGGGTTGTTTTGTGCTGAAGATGACAACGAAAGGTAAATTCAGACCAATACTTTCAAGACTCATTGCTGCACATATCGGGGCGAATCGCTCATCGTCGTCCGGCCATGGGATCCCCAGTCGTTGGCTCCTTTCCTGAAGCCATCGCCCAAACTCACGGTCGTTGGTGATGCGGCGCTTTGCCGCCATTTCCATACAGTCTCCCAACCACATCGCGATCACTCGACCATTGTAGCCCTTGTGCGACATGTGTGCCCCATGCTTGTCAGGTTTCCAGACCTAGGCTTGACAGGATGTTCTTGATTTCAACAGTAGCAGCCTTCAATATCAAATTTAAGGAGGTTTCTTTGTAGGGTATGTAATGCAGTGAAGTGACAAAGTTCGGCGTAAACTTGCCTTGGGAACAGACCAAACCCCGCTGCTTCTGGAAGGTTCTGAAGTCTTTGTAGGCAACGACCAAAATCTGGTGCAACGAGTTCACATCTGGATTCGGGTCTCCGAAGTAGCCGTTCTCAACCAGAAACATCCTTGAAAGGTAGGTGTGTGTGAAAACTAACATATAAACCTAGACCAACCTGCCTAAGATCCCAACCAAAATGGTGCCAAAGAGCAAAGTAGATCCCGTAGCATCCTGTGCCACCCCCAGGTTGACATTGTGCAAGCTACAATGACACAGCATTGCCACGTCGAAGCATTGAAGTCCCAGGAGCGGGCCTTCAGGAACAAACCCAACTAGATTCTTCTCAACCATTCAGTAAACATACTGGCAAAATTGGAACAATAGGAAAGCTTACGATGCTGGCAAAAGCACAGACATGATTTTCCTTCATCCCCTTAACCACGAAACTGTTGTGGGAATGCAGTGTCTGGGCCCAGGATGGAGCCTCTGACAGATCCATCATGGAGTGCAGGGCTTGGTGGTGATTTTCTGCATCGCATCGCCAACAAATCCACCTAGTCTTCCACCACCGACAAAGTCTCCAGGTCATATAGTGATACTCCCAGTCCCCCTTGATTTGTGTAACGACAAACTTGTGGCTCAATCTATTTCCTTCAGGGGTTAAGCCATCAAAGGCGGCATTCAGAGATTCCACAATCGCGAGGTACAAGGGGTTGTGGCTTTTCCAGCCCAGGCTAAGTTCGTTGTCAAGACACCACAGCAACCACTGGCTCATCCGTGTCGATTTTGGCCGCCACAGCACAATACTAAGATAACAACCTGTGACTTTGCTTTGGTCGAAGCCTGTGCCATACCTGGCAGTGTCACCATATACTGTTAGGGGTATGTGGCTTCCATCGAGCTCGGTGTTGGCAGCCCACGGTAGGAATTCTTTCATGTGACCCCAGTATTTCTCAAGAGCACCAGCGGGGATCTTCAGACCCAACTCGTCAAACAGAAACGCCAATATGCGATGAGGGGGCAGAACGGGAACCTTGATAGTTGTTTCCTGTTCCGAGTCGTGCTTTGCCTTCACAACCGTCTCCACATAAATGGGCGCCTGTTCTCGACTAGCTATTACAGACACAGAAAATATTTAGATCTATCGGGGAAGTAGAGATTAAGGTTAAGGCCGGGATTGTAGTATGGTGTTAAAGTGTTGGGCTGTGTTGGGGTGTTATCTAAGGTTCAATCATGCAGCAGGAAAACACATAAATGCTGATGCAATTGTTTGCAAACCGGCACCACAGGAAGCCGAACTGATCGTTGGAAATCTCGAGAATTGTTTTTCCCGCTGAAGGAACCCATCTTCAGCAGCGGTGCGGGCAGTGCAGCAGAGGCTGCATCCTTGGCCACAGCACAGGTCTTAGGACTTCGGTTTTTGCGGTTTATGTCGGGGCTTAAAACATACAATGGGGCGATAAGCTTTGGTTTTTCGGATATAGGATGGTATTCGTTCTATTTTATGTGCGGTCGGGCTTCCTGAACGGATGATCTTGCGCTCTTCATCTCGCGGTCGATGGAGCTGGCCTCTGCTTTGCTAGGGCTTCGAAGATCGATCGATTTGCGTGTATGATTAAGGGTTCAGCATCCTTTGCCAAGACATGGTTTGAGTGCTCAATAAGAAGACAAGCAGCAGCGGCAGCAATATTATCGATCATATCAAACACCAGTTCAGAATGACTCGATGCTGACCTGGAAATTTCACCTGCGAGCGGGGTGGTGATCAGTAGCAGCTTACACAAATCCAGCAGTGTGTGCTGTACTACAATACATGCATGTACATAAAGTAGCATAGCATTCAGCTCAGTTTTTTCAGGAAGCACCCGCCAACTCAGGTCTGCACATCTAAAGCACACATAAGGATTTCCCCATCCCCTTGTGCACCGGGAGCAAGCCGAACTACTTGGCAGGATCAGAGATGCTTCGCTTGCAGTCCATCTGTCACATAATTGCACATGGTCAGTGGTCTGACTCGTGCTCACAGCCGGCATTAAATTTTGCAATGCCAAAATCGCATCATCTTCTCCACACAGCACATAAACCCGAAAGGTTCGAGCATAGTTGCTAGCCTATCGGAGGCCCCTAAGCCCTAAGCCCTAAACCTACCAGGCCACACTATTCGATATTGTTCGGTCAAGCACTCATTCCGGGGGCTGTGTATCGGACGAGCTTCCTACTCGCTTGTGAAACTCTTCTTCTTGCCGAATGAAAGAACTTGCTCCTTCATCTTCTTGATGAGTGTGGTCGAAGCTTCGGTGCTCGCCACGATCTGGGTCTCCTCATCAGAAGCTTAAGATTGGATATGTTGCAGTCCAAAATATCACTTCCTGATAAAATGAAAGGGCTCCTCACCGGCATCCACAGCAGCCTGCAACTCGGCTCGCGAGGCAGACAGCTGGGCGATGCAGTCGTTGAGATCTTTGCGAAGGGCCGCCTGGACACTCTTGCTCCTCGGCATGAAAGGAGGGTTGAAGGATTGTTCGAGTGAAAAAAACTGACAACACACTTATGCATGCTTAGCCCGCAACAGCCCAGAGAGCTCACGAAGTTTGCCGTTGGTCTCCCGGATGACTTTGCTCAGCTGAGAGATTGCCTCGGAGGGCATTGGGAAGCATGCGTTCAGTTTGGGGTTAGCATTCATGGCACAGGCCTTGTTGGCCTCCAGCTTGACCTTTTTGATTCGCTCCTTCTCGGCTTGCTCCTCTGTTGTCTCCTCCTTCTCCTTTTTACCTTTCTTGTTTTTTTTCTTGCTCGCCTTCGTGGGCCCTTTGCCCTTCTTCTTGTTCTTCTTGCCTTTGGGCCCCTCGCGGGTCGAGCTGATTGTGTGGGAGAGAGAGACAGAGATAGAGAGAGTGTGTGTGCGTATGTGAGAGAGAGAGGGTGTGTGTGAGAGAGAACGAATATGTGAGAAAGTTTCCGACCCTTATCGGTCCTTGCCAGACTTGCCACCCTTCTTCGGCGTGTCCCCATCGCTCTCGTCATCGTCGTCGTCGTCGTCGTCGCTATCATCGTCGGCGCCCGATGAGTCGCCCCGGTCCTCCATTCGGAACATGTCGATAATCTCATCCTGATCTTCGTCCGTGTGCTCTTCATCAACAAGCACCAGGTACTGAATCAATCCTGCGGCAAGATCTGAAATAAAAATGATCCAGCAAGAAAGAGAACAAACACATCACCAGACAGTACGTGACACATCCAGCGGTCCCGGGCAGTCCGGGTGCTCCCGGATTTCCGTTTGCTTGAGGTACTCGTCAGTCTCCTTACGGAGAACCATGGCATCCACGATTGCTTTATCGCCGAAGTGGTTCTCCAGCTGACTCCGGGTGAGCCAGCGGCGGATGCCCCGTCGTCCCGTGCGACTGGTGCTCTTGATGGTCTTGTACACCATGCTGTTCCGCCAATTCCCGGAAACCGCCAGGAAATCCTCGTACAAAGCACTCATTTGGTGTTTGCCTCAATATCATCGCATAGAAGAATCATAGCACACAAGCAGACAAAAGTACACACATACCGGCATACCTGCACATCGCGAAAAATCGTTGATTGCAAATGGGTTGCAGTACTTGGATTGCTGGAAGGCAGACTTGATCTCTTTCGGCGTGCTGCGACCTATGTTACTCACCAGATAGGGAGGGAGGGAGAGAGAGAGAGAGAGAGAGGCTGGCGAAAGAAAGAAAGAAAGAGAGAGAGAGAGAGAGAGAGAGAGAGAGAGAGAGAGAGAGAGAGAGAGAGAGAGAGAGAGAGAGAGAGAGAGAGAGAGAGAGCGAGAGCGAGAGCGAGAGCGAGAGCGAGAGCGAGCGAGAGGGAGAGCGACAGAGGGATGGAAATTATAGAGAGAAGCACAGCACTCTGAGACCATGGCTGTGTATGTTTCTGTAGAATCTCATGTACATCTTGTGGGCGGTCTTTCTCTTCTCGCTGGGCTCCTCTTCTTTCTCGTCGTTGACTGCCTTGCTGGGCTTCGGCTTTGTGGGGGACGGCTTGGGCCGGGTTTCCTTCTTCGGACTCTTGGGGCCCTTGGGTGCGGGATCTTTGCTCGACCTGGCTGTGCTGTCCTGTGGCTCATCATCACTATTGTCCTTCGTCGGGGTCGGGCTGCTGCGGGCTTTGACCTTTGCTGCGGCTTTCCTTTTTGGGCTGACTTTGGCCTTTGCTTTCGGCTTCGCTTTCGCCTTAGCTGCCGACTTGCCTGGCGGGTTGGGGGTGGGCTCCTGGTCATCATCCCGCTGGGTTTCATCCACATCTTCAAAATCTTTCTCCAGCTTCTTTTGGGCGGTTTCGGCGCTAAGCTTCCTTTCCAGGCTCGTCTTCTGATCAACTGTCTGTGGCCTTGTCAGAGCATGCTTGACCTTCCTGGCTGTGGAACCAGTCAGATCACTGGTGTTGGCTCGCTTTTGTTTCGCCGGGGGAGTCTCCGGCACCTCTGTCTGCATTGAATCGGTGCGAAGCGGTCGCTTGCCTGCTTGGCCATTCTGGTATGCTCGCTTCCCTGGTGGGCTGTGCTCCTCTGCTGCTGCGGGAGGCTCTCGATCAGCTGGGGACCCTTTCTTTCCAGTTGGGGACCCTTTCTTTCCAGTTGGGGACACTTTCTTTCCAGCTGTGGACTCTTTCTTTTTGGTGGGGGACTCCTTCTTGCTGGCGGCTCCTGTCTTTCCAGGAGGGGACCCTTTGGTTCCAGGAGGCGAATCCGTCTCGACGTCGGGCCACGGGTTTTGGGCATCTTCGTTGCTGCCGTAGGACCTAGGCATATGGCATGACACATCGTGTTTTCCCGATCAACTATACTGCATGAGTCTCAACGAATGCAGAGGGCCCCACAATGCTCTCGATGGTTCCGAAGCCTTCTTGTCCACTCGAGCCTGCCTCTCACGGGCCTTCTGTAAAAACTTCTCCACATCTACGCTGGCCGACATCGAGTCGACCCGGACCAAAAGCCCTACACAGCAAGCACCTACCTGCGGCAAGAGAGACCTGTGTTGCGGCAGTCGACATCATGACAGGGCAAAGCCAAGCTTGAAAGCGTACTGCGTGATTGCGCTTGAGTTGGTGTGGTTTCGCTCGATTTTAGGGCAGCAAAAGTTTCACAGTTATACGGGGTCGTTTCACGGTTTTCACGGTGCTTTTCACGCTATTTTCACGCTGTTTTCACGCTAGTTTCACGCTCAGTGGTTTGCACACACTTCAGCACAATCTTGAAGAATTGTTTTGTGATTGCATCGAAGCCCAATGCTCTCAGGTATATCTCTGGATGCAGCCACTGAAGCAGCCGCTGAGCTACGACATTCCTAGCCACTCGGCTCACATATGAGGACAGCTCCCTAACTTCTAGAGGAATGTGCTGTAATGGTTTGGGCTTTCAGTGGCCAGGAAAGCAAGCACCCCTAAGGGAAGTCGAATGCGGGCACAAATCGGCCGTCTGCGATCTCTTTCAAAAGAAAGTCAAACACCGGACCGAGATTAGCATGCTTCCAGTTGAAAGGAGGCCTCACGTTCGGAGGCGGTGTTTTGGCAGCCTGACAGGCAAGCGGATAAGCCTAAAACAGGCACACACACATATATAAAGCTTCGGAGGGTTTTAGATCTCGGGGCGAGGACTTAGGGGGCTTAGGGTTGTTCGGGGTTTTGAAATGTTGCTGTAGATCATACTGGAAGAAGACTTGCAACGGCCTCTTCGGAGAGGCGTATCACACCCTTCAACAAGCAGCTCTGCCCGTTCTCCTCGGCATGCAGAGCTGGAAGTATGAGATGTCTAAGTTTTGATCGTGAACCATTCTCACACAAGGACATGTTACCCCGGCAAGAGGCTATCATCTGCATATGCTGGAATTCCACAGCTCGCCCAAATCCAGCAGGATATGTTTGCGATCTGGTGAGTTTTGGTCCACCAGTCCTCATCACTAGCAATTGGTGCTACACGTATATAATGCAATATTTGTACAGTCAAGATCCCATCATGCATGACATGCAGAATACTGCGTAGGCACAAATATACATGTACAGGGTTACAGAGTTTAGGGCTTAGGGATGTAGAGTATATATGAGAGATGAAGAGTTTAGGGTTTCGGTGTTGTAAAGTGTATAAAGGGTGTAGGGGTTGTGGAGTTTAGGGTTCAGGGGTTGTAGAGTCGAGTTTAGGGGTGTAATTAATATTAGGATTAGGGCTTAGGGGTGTAGAGATTAGGGTCGATCTATCGATCTATGTACCACCTTTTTGCCTTCTGGCTTCTGTCTGCTGCTCACTCACCCATTCCCTTGCCCTGTCGTTTCCACACAAGCACACACACCAAAAACAAAACACACACACATTCTCTCTCACTCACACTCACTCACTCACTCTCTCTCACACACACACACTCTCTCTCTCTGTCTCTCTCTCCCTCTCTCTCTCTCTCTCTCTCTCTCTCTCTCTCTCTCTCTCTCTCTCTCTCTCTCTCTCTCTCTCTCTCTCTCTCTCTCTCTCTCTCTCTCTCTCTCTCTCTCTCTCTCTCTCTCTCTCTCTGTCTCTTTCTCTCTCTCGTCTATCGACTGATTTCCCACTGAGGGCGGCTCACGACTTTCTTGCCGTCGGCATCCCGCTTGCGAGTGAAGAGCCCCTTGGACGAAAGGCCAAGGGCCCTTCTCTTGGCTTTAGTGAGCCGTTCATACATCTGCGGCAACCATGGCCTCAGCATATTCAAGCTTATTATTCGTGTCGGTTTAGGAGGAGCACAGGAAACAGATCGTTTGTAAGCCCCATACGGAGTACCAATGAGGGCCGTGAGCTTGGGAGATCGGTGACCATAGGTCGCCATCCAACTGGGTTTGTTGCAGGGCATCATTCCTAATGCTATGTTACTTGGCGCTTGCTGCATTAGCACACTCAAGTTGCAATCACTCCGTGGTTAAGATCCTGACAATCGGACAGTTCGAATCGGTATGTGATCCCCACAGACTTCCTTGATAAAGGCCAAATACGGGAATTCCAGAAATAATGAGCTCGCCGGCTGTTCTATCCACCAGTGGACACATCTCATCGCAGCCAGTGTGCACAGGAGAACCGTCCGGGTCGCCAACCTGGGCTTGGGTTTAGGGTCTTTTGTGGCGGTTTAGGGTTTAGTGATAGTGGTTGGATCGCACTCGATTGAGGTATAAGGTATACTGGTGTAAGTCGAGCAAGGGAATGCAAACCTGTACCCCTGAAGCCTAAAGCCCATTTGCAACCAAAGTGCTCGTTGGCTTTCTTAATATAAGAATATGTCGTCGTCCCAAAGATACGATATGGTCGTCTGCCGGAGGTGGCTCTGTTCATGAACACCCAGCTTCCACAAGGAAGGCCACAACAGAGGAGGCCGGATGGTTTGATGCGTAAGACCTTGTGCATGGCTCGAAGCAGCCCAAGCCTCAGACCCAAGTCCAAGATTTCAGGTTTCAGCATCGTTCAGCATATGATGCAGACCCCAAGCTCCCGTGTAAGTAGCTGACACAGACAGCAAATCATCTTCGGCACGGGAGCTTATATCGAAGAAATCCCTAGGTGATCATGAAGTATAAGTTGTTTTCACGACTTGAGGCAAAACTAATTCTCCGAGCTGAGACCCAGGCGATTTGTGGCCCTTTGCACCTCACATACATCGAAACTCGAAGTATTTAGAGACCCCCTAAGTTGTCAGTCTCACTGAATGCAGCGAAACCCTAGGTAAGAGCGAGGCTGAAAGCTCTTTCTACCGACCGCTTGCCGGCGAAGAGATCGAAGCAAACTAAGTCCTAGGTTTCACAACAACCGGATTGAATCAGCTTTCGTCTGAACACTGAGGATCAGGCTCGAAGCAAGTTGTCCCCGGTTGCATTCTGTGCGATGTAATCAGCAAGGTGTAGCCTGATGCGAACGAAGTAGATTTGGGCTTCGGGAAGGGAAGGTTCGGCTCTTAATCGCAGAACGAACTGAGGTCTCATATACTGTTAACCGAGCAACAGGATGCATGGGAAACCAGCAGAAGCCAGAGCAAGCAGGCACTGTCGTGACAGAGCCAGATCATTCAGCATCCAAGGCGGCATGTCTTCGGCCCCAAACTCAAACCAGAGGAACACGTTGCACGAAGCTCGGGGCCCAAAGCTCAAGGTGGAGCAAACTTGCTGGATCGATTGCATGGCAACCACCGGAATCCACAACAACACAAACGATGCAGGAAGTGCTTGCCTATTTTGATCTCGTGTGCACTGATCCACACTGCTAGCGGAGACTGCAAAAGTCAGTCGAGGAAAACAAAAATCTAGATCGACAAAGGCCTTAGTGACGATAGGCACCTGTCGCATCACCAGCTGGCAGCCATCAGAGCTGCTTCCCACCTAGGCCCAAAACTTACTCTCAATCCCAGCTGACTCAACTCAGCAGCGGTTGCAGATGCCAAGCACCAGGCGCTTTGCCCAGCGAGTCGAACTTGTTCCAGCCGAGGCTGGCTCCATCCTTTCGATTCACCTCAGTGTTGTACATGGCTTCGGTTCGGGCTAGGTGAAGGGCTTAGTCGGTTTAGTCTTTAGACGGTAGTTGGGAACCGGGCCTGGAAATCTTGCCCGAATTTCCGGTTCACTTTATCCAGGCGCTCTTGCGTTGCATCCATGATGTAGAAGCACCCCGAGTAAGGGTTGAACCTGGTCATGGCATTGGGGCTGAACATATCAGCACAGCATAGCAAATACCGAGGAATTGGCCAAACTCCGATCTTGGATGTCTGCTCGTTCTTGGTGAGGGTCCATGCCCTCGAAAAGGTAAGTTGGGAACTCTAGGGTGGGATGTGGCTTTGTCAATGCATGCTGTTTTCAACCATCACTCAGGCTCTCACTTCCTTTGGTTGTCAGAAGACAGCACCCCGTGGTCCAGCTCCATTCGGGGGTCCTTCTTGTTCAGTGCCTCGAACCGAGGTCGCCAACGGTCTTTCACCTCCCGGAGTGCATGCATGATATGCAACTTACTACGTACTTCGTGCCGTTACCCAACCTGCGCGAGACGCTCGTTGTCCTTAGCCTGCTTTGCTGTTTTGGGCTTTTGCTCGGGGACTCGCTCGGGAGGCTGCTCCTCTTCTTGCTCATCTGCCTGCTCCTCTTCCTCTGGCTCTTCACGCTCCTGCCCTTCCTCATCATCACCCTCTTCATCCTTGGGGGTATCCTTGGCCTTTTTGGTCGGTCTTTGGGGGCTCTCCTCCCGGGCTGCCGGTCGTTTCATTGCCTTCTTTCCCTTTCCTCTCCCCTTTCCTCTGCCTCGCCCTCGTCCACGGCCTCTCGCTTTGTCCGGAACGGAATCTGGGGATCGTGGATCCTCCTCGCCTTCTCCTTCATCACCAGCTTGCTTCTTCTGTCGCAGCGCTTTCCGTGTCTTGGCTTGCGCCTAACAAGGGATTATTGGGTATGATAATGCAGCTCAGGGCTCAAGTATCGGACAAGCCAGCCTGCAACACAAGATTCGGATCATCATCCCGGGTGTCGTTCAGCATCTTCTTAGCTTTCTCTTTCACAGACTTCGGGAGCTTCGGGGCGGGGATCTTCTGGTTTTTCTCATCCTCGCAACGAGTACAGGAAGTTAAACTACAGCTTTGTGAGAATTTGAAGCGAGCTCAGCACCAAGCCGAATGTCCTGGAAGGTTCCCTTTGTTCCATCTTTCTCGGCGTCACTCTGCACACCATCCCCCGGCAAACAGTCATCCTCTTCCCTCGCCTCTTCCTCGCCCCCTTCCTCTGCATTGCAGGTCCCGGCGGCATCCTCGGTATCCTCGGCGTCTTCCTGGCAGCAACAGCAGCAGAAGCAGCAGCTGGCAGAAGCAGCACAGAGCACAGAGCAAAGCATGGTTGCCCTGGGTTGCCAACAGGGATAGGAATATCATCATATCATATCAAAGCACAGCATAGCATCGCTAGTATCTTGTACCAATTAGGTCTTCGACGGTATGTCGTGCTCGGGCACATGGTATTGGGATTAGATACCGTGGGCTTTGAAAAGGTGATCTAGTATAGCGATCTTATGGAATATCTTTTGGTTTTCGGGTTTATCGTCAGGACATTAGCCGATGTAACAGTATACAACTGAAGTTCGAAACCAAATTAGGGTATCGAAACCCCAAAGTAACAAATCTCCAAATATATGTTTATCCGGGTGTTACCTACCATCTCAGCCGAAGTCTAAGATACAAAAATAATATGATATATATGTCACCGAAGCAACGAAACATGTCCCAAAGAAATTCCATTTTCAGCCCCATGACACCCCCGAGACTCCAAGCATAAACTCCGAAAAGCATGTATTTCGTTTTAACCGAAAACCCTTTATGATTTATCGTTAAATAGTCAAAATCCCAAAGAATCCACTCTCGCCTCCGGTGTCCCAGGAATGCCAGCTGCTTTCATGTCCTGCACAGAACGTATTGTGGCTGCTAGGTGATGTCTGTGCTAAACGGATGGGCTCCTTCTTTCGGGCTTGAATGATCTGTTTCAGTGCCGCCAACTTTTCGTGGGAGCTGCCCTTCCTGTGAAGACTAAGAGTGAATTTCGAACACCCGCACACAAATCGAAAGCAACAGCTTTCAAGGCCGCCTTGTGTCCCTGTTCCGGCGAGTCCGGTTACAGGCCCACGAGGCAAATGTTCTCAACACGGCCGCCTCCTCCTCTGCCCAATCCTGGAGTAGGAGGACAGAAGAAGTTGATAGGGGAACAATCTGCTAAAGCATCTAAGAATGCTGCCTCTCTCTCCTGCTTGGTCAGGCTGTCGTTCAGGCGAAAGTGGCCCCCGGCCCAAAAGATTGCAGCCTGGAGTAATCGAAACAGGTGATTAACAACTCAAGTTCTCAATTCAGGAACAATACGGAGTACTAGTGAATTCAGCCTCGACCTCCTTCTTTGTGGGGAGGTCCCCCGCAAATGAGGAGCAGTAGCTCGCGATGATCGGGAAGTTGAAATCAGAGACAACCTGATCAAGCTTGACCGAAATAATTGCCAAACCAAGTCGTTGAGATTCCCGCCTGCTCTTCAGAAGGAGAAGCGCTCGACACATCCAGGAAGCGATACAGAAAGGGAGTGGTCTCCTGCAACAGAATTCGGCTAGTCTTCTTTATTGGGAACAGGGCCCGGGCCTTCGAATCCTTCTTGAGCTTCGCGGCTTTTTTCTTCAGATCTTCGATTCTTTGGTTCACATACCCTGGTTTCAGCAGGTCCTCGAGGAACTCTTTCAGTAAAGCGAGCCTCTTCTCGTTGGGCTTCGAGTCGGGCATTTTGCCCGTTGGCCAACTCTTGAGAAAAAAAACGTCTCTCGATCGGGTCACGCTTGCAAATCCGAAGAGCATCAAAACCATAAGTGGCAGGGGGGGCAGAGCGGAGCAGCCTTCAAGAACTCCTTCTTCAGCAAGACCTGGGCCAGGAAGGAAAGGAAGGGAATCAATTAAATTCACGAATTAGAAAAGTCAGGGCCCGACGGCCCC